CAGGAAGAGACACTGTTCTGAAAGGCTTATGCTTTGACGGAATGGAATGAAATGGAATGGAATAGATTAGACTAGACTAGACTAGACTAGACTAGACTAGACTAGAATATACTACTTGTCTAAACAAACTTAAACCTGGAGACACTCTAAATGTAACACATGCCACATGGGAAGATAACCCTTTGTTATCTAAAAACACCTTCACATTGCTACGTCTTGAATGTGAGAGTGACATAGAACTAAGTATGGCAGTTGGTTTTGTCATTTCATAAGGCTGAAAAATCACTTTATTCTGATGCTTCTGCAGTGCATTATTTTCTCAGGAAGAGACTGTCCTCACCTAAACGAAGAAGTTAGTAGGCCACAGGTGGACACCCTCTTATTTATCCAGGTGTACCAAAAAATAAGAGCTCACTGCCCTTAATTTTTCCCCACTATCAGAAGTTCCTTACCATCTGCTGCCGTCGCTGCCTCAAGCAATACTCCATTATTGAGGTGACTGTTCAGCCACTGTAACTAGTTTCAGGTAAAAGTGAAGTTAACCTGAGCCTTCTGCCTGAAGGATGATGTCAGGGTGTACACATACAAACCAGAGCAAGCAGAATGGAGTATTTCTATTAAACAAGCAGTAATGAACACCAGAGACTGCTACCTCTCTCATCACAAGAGACTTATCCAGAGCAGAACCTCTGCCAAAGCATAAGAATGGTCACTGTGATCTGTGGCCAGCAGAGAGACCTCTTTGGCTTCATATCTTTAATTGCCTTCTGCAGACTTCTCACTTCCATTCAGCCTTGTATGGTGCAGCCTTAAGAGAAGATTCAGACTTTTATAGAAAAATTGTAACAGCAGCTGCCTACAACAATCTGCAGATGGCAGTAGAAAACCCTGCAAATGCTTAATGAAAACAGGCTCAACAGAGCAGCAGCTGAACCTCAACATCTTTCTGCTGGGATTCTGGCAACAACTGTCTTCATTACATATTTTGGTTAGATGTATAACTGCTGCTCTAAAACCTTGCTCAGGTCTGCCTATGTCACATGTTGGTCAATACAGCTTTTTAGAGCTTGCCAGTGACATCTGTCAATTCTAACCCAACAGTCAATGAGTAGAAACCAAATAAGACAAGTAATGCTGCAGAATTGTGTTGTGAGTAACAGAGACCAAAGTATAATTTATTGAAGGCAGTCAAAAGGAGTAAAAACAAGTATCAGGAGATACTGGTTTTATCATAATATGTACTGAAAAAAATACTTTTCACAGAGAAAAAAACTTTCACAGGTGCTTACTCAAATTACCTGATGTACAGTAGAATGTATTTTGATTTAGGCTTGCAGCTGCACTCAGTCTTAATTTGAACTTAATGAACTCTTGAACAGCATAGACATTTTTTGAATATACTTGACATTTCTGTGCTTTTTAAATTTTTTTTCCTATCTCCAAACAGTTATTGAACCTGATGATACATCCTTCCCCTGTGTCTCCAAATTTATGATGCCTTATACTGTAAAGAACTTGTAAAGTTTAACTGTTTATTTCTCAGAGTTCTTGTTATTAATTAGATTCTCCTTTTTGGTTATAACTCTTCCTGTCTTTATTGAGTACCTTTCATTTGAAGAAAACTTCAACTATTTTATATCAAGTAGGATTCCTAACACTCCCAGAAGCTCAGCTATGTACATTTTACAAGGAGTCAGTTGGAGTCCCATGAGACAAGATAATCTGCCAGAAGATCATACAGCAAGCTATCTAAGAGCTAAGAAAGAATCTAAGCCTCCTGATATATCAGATCTGGGTTCGGGATTTTTCCAAGTCTCAGTAGTTGCTGCTGTTGGACATTTCACCCTCTTTGACACTGTAGGACATGTTCTTCTTAAAATCATCTAGAGATATAAAGATCTTGTTTGCACAGAGGACCAAGACCACTGATGCTCTTGATCTCTTCTCCTTTCTTGTGACATAACACTTGGCTTTTGGCCTACTGCCACATACTGGAAGTTTCTTATAGAGTGCTGGGAAGTAGTACTTGCTAGGCTTTTGCAGGCCACTGCAGACACTATGCATGCAATACAGGCATTTCCTAAATTTGGTATCTGCTACACAGTTTTTCATGATTTCAGGGGATACCATGGTTAAGGTGGTTCTTTCAGTTTAATGTTCCTATAAATTTTACTCCCATAATCCCTAGATAAACCTTCTACTCTAAGATCTTAATTCATGTAGGCATTTTGTTAAGCCCACACCCCCCTCCACACCCCCTTCCCCACACATTCTTAGTGCGTTCTTAACATTATATTCTTAATTCCCACAAGTTTCTGTGTGATTTGAGTTTGCATTCTAAGAAAACCATTTATTTGAGTTTGTCCTGAACTGGCTGGAAAAGAATACAAAATTTTATAAAATGAATACACTTTTTTACATTACGTATAGCTTTTCTCATCCTCTTTTGCTCATGAAATGAGCTGATGCAACTTGCAAAATGTACAATGAATTAATAAGGGTAGAAAATGTAAGATTAAGGTGCTATGCTCAGGAAGTATATGCTCTTCCTTCTCACACGTTTTCACTTTTGTATTTGGATTTCTTTCCAAATGATCAAACATTGCCATCTACTACAGTTGTTCTAAGACTTTGATTGATATTACGGAATCACAGGATCACAGAATCAACTAGGTAGGAAAAGACCTCTGAGATTATCGAGTCCAACCTTTGACCCAACACCACCTTGTCAACTACACCATGGTAGTAAGTGCCACATCCAGTTTCTTCTTAAACACCTCCAAGGACAGTGACTCCACCACCTCCCTGGGCAGCCCATTTCAATGCCCAATCACTCTTTCGTTAAAGAACTTCTTCCTAATGTCTAACCTAAATCTTCCCAGTAGGACCCTGCCCTCTCGTCCTACTGCTGGTTGCCTGGGAGAAGAAACTGATACCCATCTGGCTACAACCTCCTTTCAGGTAGTTGTAGAGAGTGATGACGTCTCCCCTGAGCCTTCTCCAGGCTAAACACCTACAGCTCCCTCAGCCTCTCCTCATAGGACTTGTGCTCCTGTCCCTTCACCAGCCTCATTGCCCTTCTTTGGACAAGCTCAATATCCTTCCTAAACTGAGGGGCCCAGAACTGGACACAGTACTCGAGGTGCCTGTTTACCTCACTTTGGCTGGTATACCTTTCTTCGCTGCTACAAATAAGACTACTAAGTATCATCACTATTGTGAAAGATCTGATCAAAAAAGCAATGATCACTACTATTCCAAATCACATTCACTTTCTCATTTCTTATTGAAATGCACACATTCCAATGCAGACTTTCAAGACACTATTTTTTGAATGGTCAGTAATGCAAACTGTTCTCAGATTAATCCTTCTTGACTTTTTCTTTTCAAGTGTCTTTTGTAATTTTTATAAGAAATTAACTGCATCTGTGTGGGGAGAAGAGAGAACATTCTAATCATTATCCAAAGCAGTGAAGCTGTGCAATAGGACATCTGTGTTCCCAAAGATTTAACATTTTACATTCTTCTTTGCCCTTTTTAATTAATTTTTATTACTGTCTTCTTTCCCTTTGGTTCTATGTTTATCATACTTTCATTGTCATATTCTGTTTTAAATAAAGTATTTGTACAAAGATTTTCTAGGAATTTTAGCAACTCAGTTACTGATACAGTCTAGAAAACAGACTGCACTCAAAGCTGAAAATAGTTTATTTTAGTATTGACCACTACAGACATCATGTTGCTGATCTTTCTGAGGTTTGTGACTACCACTTCACTGTGCATTCACACAGATGCACTAAGCTAGAAAGGCAGGAGAGAAGCTCGGTCTTCATTTTGAAAGCATTTATGTGGTGCACTTTTTGCATAAAATTATAAATTACTATAACCAAAGCAAAGAGGTCATCACACCTAACAGGAACAAGTATATTGACCTGCAACTCTGCAACAGATTACCAGTAGTATTGACAAGAGTCATATGCATTATATACACAGTTTTGATGGGTAGGGTTTCAATATATAAAGGCTTAAAAGAAAGATGGAGAAAAACCTTTTACCAGGGCGAGTGACATGACACAGGGCAATAGCTTCAAACTGGAAAACATTGGACATAAGGAGGACATTTTTTATGATTAATATGGTAAGACACTGGAACAAGTTGCCCAGAGAAATTGTGGGTGTCCTGTTCTTGGAAATGATCGAGGCCAGGTTGGATGGGGCTTTGAGCAACCTGATCTAGTTGAACGTGTCACTGCCTGTCACTGTAGGTCATCAGGCTGGACTTCTAATTCAGTGAGTGTATAAGTAATTAAATTAAATTAAGGATTTGGCAGTAGGCTGACTGTAAGCCTATTTCAGAAGCCTGTGTCACATTTTAGTTGAGAATAAGCAGATGCCCATTGTATGAATTTTAGGTCAGGGTCAGAACAATAAACTTCAGTGTAGATAAGGTAAAAAACAGACCAAGAAAAAACCCACTTAGGTCCAGAACAGGCTGCAGGTTTGTGCAGCGCATTATCATGTATACTGTTCTACTCTCCCTCTCCCCCTCCCTCACTCTCACACACTTTCTCTCTCCCCCCCCCCCTTCGGGTAGATAAAGGTCACTGTACTTTTGGCTACCATTAGGATCATGGTGTTTGCAAATAGGCTGGCAGAGGCTTTGCAGAAGCTGTAACACCTACCCTTAGAAAAGACTCGTGGATAGCCTAAAAAGAGCTTCAACTTTCTCTTACTATGGAACACGACTCAGTTTGACCGGTCCACAGCTCTCCCCATTATACAATATTCCCATGTCTTGACCGTGCTGTTCACCTATCCATTTACAACCTGGTTACACCTTATCACACCGCCGTGCCGGCAGCGCCGGTGTTGCCGGGCAGGCCATGGCATCGGCGGCTCTGACCCCCCTCGGCAGGGGACGCAGCCCAGGCCGGCGGGCGGAGGCTCCTCCCGCCGCCGCCTCCCGGCGCCCCGCCGGGGCCGTCCCCGCGCCAGGCGGGATGCGGGGCGCTCGCCGGCGGCTCTTGCCGCCCTGATCCTCGCGTACGGGCTCTTCTCCTCTACGCGGCCTACACCGTGTTCCTGCCGCGCCGCTCGGACCCCCTCGCCGCACCGGGACCGCCGCGGCCAGCGGGTGAGCAGGGCCGCTTCGGGCGGCGCCCGGTCCGGCCTGGCCGGCCGGGGCGGCGGGCGGGGACCGGAGAGAGCTCCTGGAGGAGAGCAGGGCGGCCGCCGGAGCCACGCTCCCCGAGGGCCTGCGCAGGCCGCGGGCCATTTCCCAGTGCCGCGGGAGGGCAGGGTCGCGGCCCGGCAGTAGAGGAGGAGGAAGCGGTGGGCGGTGGTGTGCCTGGCCCGGGGCCGTGGGAGGGTTGTCAGGTGATGCTTGAAATTATGGATTCCAGAAAATTCTTCAGTTTTTTAAACCCGTGAATCTGACCGTTTTACGTAAATTACGCTTTTAGGTTTCACAAATCATGTTGCCTTGGGAAACGAATGGAATCCATGGGAAGAGGACGAGAAGAACGAGCTGGCTGCTTCTCAGCAGAGATATGAAGCTAATCTTAAGATGATAAAATATGCAAGATCTCGCCTAGAACAGACCAGTCTTAGAGTACAGATTTGGGGAAAAGCAGCAATTGGTAAGCAAATGTAACCAGTGTCTACTAATCACATAAACTTTCTGATATAGCATTTTCCCCTGCTTTTTAATGACTAAAATTTATGTATATGATTAAATAGTATGTATATTTGTACATGAAGACTGTTAAGGAAGTTGTAGCTGTTATTCAAATTTGTACCAATGTAAGAGTAGTTACACTTTAGTTTCTTTCTATCAGTTCTTTTCAAGGCTGTTTTTTGCATCTGGCAAAGAAAATGTCTCAAATAGCAGAGAGACACAGTTACTTTTTTAATCCAGTCTGGTTTACAGTACAACACAAGAACAGGCCTCTTATTTGGTTAAACGAGACTATATATTTTTGTCACATTTACACTTCTTGAAATAAAGCATCATACAGTGAGAAATAAACCATTTTCTGTACTGCAGTACTACGGCCAGTGATGAGCTTGGAAATTCTTCTGTTGTAGAAGACACTGATTTTACTCTACATAAACTGGGAGCCAAAGTCTTCTCAAGCTCTTTAACTACTACCGACGACATAACATTTTTCGTATTTTAGCTTTTTGAAAATGCCAAATTTCCAGCTTCAGGTAAACTTGCATGTAGCATTGTAGAACACATTGGTAAATTAGCCAATGGCACATTCCATCACAAAAAAAATGGTGTGTTTCACAAAAGCTTAAGAGAAGTATGCTTGTCCTTAAAATGCTGATTAAAATTTGCTCATTTTTAGGTGGTATGTGTGCTGGAAAGAGATGCTAACAGAAGTAGTGGTATATCTTCATCTACTGATATTTTGTCAGCCAGAGAATATCTTAAAGTGCCCCAATACGGGAAAAATTAATCTGAACTAATTCAAAGTCATACAGACTTTGAGAAGCAGTGTTCCCATTATATAAGAAGCTCTGACATTTCTTTCCCGAGTTCTTACATTGTGATGCTTTTTCGTTTCCTAGAAGTTATTTTATTTGCTAGGAGTTTAGAGTATGCATGATCTGTGCATTCAAATTCTCCATCATGTCTTCTTTTGTGTAGGTCTTTACCTTTGGCAGCATATTTTTGGAGGGCACCTTGAGCCAGCTGATGTGACTGCACAGTGGAGAGAAGGAAGCCAAAAAGCAGGAAAAACATATTTCAGGTGTTGTTCATGATGCTGATTTCAATTGTGTAAACTTTAACAAATAATGCATTGGAAAGTTAAAGTACATTATAAGATGCACAGGTGGATTATTTTGCCTGTCTCAAAGTTGTAGTTATTTCAGTATCAGCTGCAAGTGCTTTTTAATTTTTTCGTGTTTTGATAACTGTGTAAAATGTACACAGCTTCTCGTTTATTCATGGAAACACATACTTGATAAACACAGCTAATCCTAGCCTAAACAAGTCACTGTTACAAAATAGAAAACCAGGGAGCAATTTCATCTGTTTTATGAAGGTTTGTGTTATTTGAAAAAAATAGAGAAAGACTTACCAATGCTGAGAGGAAGGGCAGCCAAGAGACCTCAGTGGCACCGGGGGGGGGGGACATAAAATCCTCAGAAAAGTCTTAAGAACTGGGGTTTGGGGGCTCATAGTCGATGACAACAAGTGTGGAATTTTGAGGCAAGAGGAGGTCTCCTGCTGTTTGGTTTCCCTGTATTCAGGGAAAAGGGTCTTGGTCATAAATAGGATTGCATCAAAACTTTGTTTCTGTTTATAACAAAGGCAATCTGTGAGGACTAGCATCTGTTTAGCTACTTGACTTGCAAGACAAAATTTTATACGTAAAGGAAGATTACACTTAAAGCACTGTTTGCTTTAAAAAATGGTGCTTAAGCTGTGATCATGCATGTTTTAAGACTGATGTCAAATGTTTTATATTATTCAGTGAATCATATATTCTTTTCTCAGAAGTCCTATTTAATACCATTGTAAGGCTTTCTGTAAAGATACAGTGAAGGATTTTTTATCTACTTGGCCGGTTAGCCAGTCTGCAATAGTAGATCTCCTGCAACATTAAGTCACTTGCACCTGGACTCACCTTTTAAAAATTTTTCTCTTAATACATAAAATACACACTTAAGTGAGTGTAACTTCTGAAAAATATCTTGTTTCAGAAGAGTGTTTTTTTCTTGCACAATAAGATGTGGTTCTAGTTGAAATTTGTGGGTAGTGTTTGAAGTAAATATATGCTGGTGAATTGAAAGGGGTTTTTAAGTGATCACAAAAGTTTTTTATCATTTTGAATTCTTTATTGATGTATCTAATGTTGAACACGATACAGGCCATAGAATATTTTCAGTAATGCCTGCATCACATTCATAAGAGATTAAAACTGTTTTCTAGAAAGATATATAGGCTTGATTTATACATAGCAATTATTAAAGAGTCTGTCTTATATCTAAGGAAATTGATGAAATTGGGTACTCTTAAAAAAAATAGCTGTATTCTTTGTCTGCAAATAAAAGATGATCCTACAATATTAGAGATCAACTGTGAACGATGCTACTGCATCTTGGTAGTCTCCTTGACAGAGCAAGAGAGCTTTCCATTCACAAATTTAGAGAAAGAATACAATGCTTTCTTTGAATAAGGACCGGTGCCTGTAGTGCTGTCTTGGTGGAAGAGACTTTGTTGTTCCTAGAATTAAAATCTCAGAAGTCCAGAATTTAAATCTACAGAAATCCATCACATTCTGCCAGATAGGTTATCTTCTTGGTATTCACATGCGAATTTCTTTCAAGCTTTTCAAACCATGTTTATAACATGAAAATAATTTGCTGCACTTAATGAGTCTGTCACTTGACTGATTATGATTATTTTACTTCTGGTATGCCTGTTTCAAATGATTGATAACCTCACATGATTCCTTAGGGTATGCATGCCTCAAAGAAAAAGTTCTATACTTGCATTTAAATATCTTCTTGTTGTGTTTAGATGGACCAGGGATAATAGAGTCCTTGTTTTAATTTCAGCTTGGATGCTAGATCCTATAAAATACAAAGCTTAAGTTTGGTACCAACATAACAAAACTTAACTTTTGAAAGGCTAGTAGGAACTTGTAGTTCAAAGTATAGAAAGTATGCAAATATCACTGTTAGTTTAACAACTAGGCTTCTGAAATGAAATAGCTGAAGTTCTACTTTTTGCTCAAATTGGAAATACTATTTTGCATTTTTGTTGTGAAAAAGAATTAGTACATGATTTTGGCTGCTGGTTATAAGATTTTCTAGAATGTTGACTTTACTACCTGGCTGAGGTAAATTATCTCCATTTGATTACTAGATGAGGCTAGAGGGAACTAGCTGAGGTGACCTATTTGGAGAATATGTGCTGCTCTGCAGTTTTTTGTGGTAAGTCTAATGATTGTTAAAAAATAGAGGTCTAATAAATGTTTTCAAAGCATATCAACTCTAAAGACACAAAAATGCCGAAATATCACTTGAAGATAGTTGCATGAATTTTGTATATTTATGATGGAGAATAAACGTATTTAATATAGATTTTGCTGGCTTCAAGCTTTCACCAAAGAATACAGAAAGTATCAGCTTCTCCATGAAATGCAGGGATGTTTATTAAAAAACATGAGTGGAGAAGGAACTACATAGCTGTGGATTTTAATCCACATGACATGTTGGCATGTTCATACAAGAGGCAGGAGAGCAGGATTTAGCACTTTATTTGGCCTAGAGCAATTCACATCCTTCTCTCCTGTCATCTAAGAAGATGTTGTAGGGCAGGGAGTGCCAAACTACTTATCTCTTATTATTAAGTAAAAGCATTCCTAAATTTCTGTTCCCCTGATTAACACCCTCTATTTTATAAACATTCAATGCTGCCTTGCCTCAGTCCCTGTTAACCCCAGTTGTTCTGCAATTACTCACCATTCTCCTACCCTCTGTACACAAATTGCAACCATCTGGATTCATGCCAGAATGAAAGCCTATTGGTCAAAAAAATCAACCAGCAAAGGTTTTTATCTGTTGAAGGATTCCACCAGGGATACCTTGTGGCAATTCAGTTTTAAGAAAACCTTTTGGTGAAGCTTTTTGAAAATCCAAATGCAGTACATCTACTGGATCCTCTTTATCTGTGTTCTTACTGACACACTTGTAGATCTTCATCAGATTAGTAAAACAGGATAATTAATTTCCAGCAGTGCTTATTATCCATGTATGTGGTCAGTGATCTTACCTTTTGATAAGATGCAGGGATCTTACTATTCGTTACAGACTCTTCCAGAGAGGGAATTCATGCTGACTGGTCTCCTCCAGGGTCCTCTCAAGTTGTTTCTGTTAATGGGAGTTTTGTGTTGATGGGTAGACCCCTTATTAAGCATAGTGTCTCTTCATAATTACACTGCACACCTTTGCCAGCAGTTCTGCAATTTCATGTTCCTTCAGAACTCTCAAGTAAATGCCATCTAGGTCCAAATTCTCTGTTTGATATAATACTTATTATGTTTAAACTTGTATTTCTTTCTGAAGGGAATGAGTTTACATGTAGGAATCTTCCTTAGTTTTCGATAAATTCATATGGGTTTTGGGAAGTATGTGTTGTTTACTTTTTGGATTAAAGTGCTTGGGCTTCTTATAGAGTGTTTGGGAACAGTCTGCATACTCCTTGAAAGCTTCTTGTGATTTGTACTGCTCCTTTCCAAGTTCTTATCCTGATTTTTTCATCTTTATGTAATTCCTTTATTGCATATGGAGTATCTCTACAGTATTTGGTATGATCTCCCGTGCTGCAAGTGCTAAATTTAATCGTACCGCTGTTACAGAATGACTGTGTGACTAACACCTTTGGAATGGGGTCTGGAAGACCCAGTCTAGAATACCATCTTTTTGTACGGATTCAATGATTAGTAAGGAAAAACAAGGACTTTGTAGAAAGCAAGTCATCTATTTAGTAAAAAAAAAATGTAATCTCCCCATACCATCTTTGATCTAGTCTTCATGTGAGTAGTTAGTGCTGTTAGTACTACTGCCTTAATTTTGCAGCTTTTGTAATCTCCCTTACGTTTCCCAATCCCAATTGTATTCTGACTGGGAGTTAATAGTACAATCCTAGCTCTGTGTTTTTATTATTAAAGTATGGGATTTATGAGACTTTCATAGTGTTACCTTTTTTCCCCACTGTAATTTTATGCATTTAAACTTCATATTTTTCTACACACGAGTCAGTACTTCCTGACCTGTACATCCTGCCATTCCTGTAAAGTTGATGCTCTCAAGCTGCTGTGTCATAGATAAAACTTTTTCCCCCATGTCTCTTTTTGCAAGGTGATCACTGGACCATCTACATATCCTAGTCGCTATTTTAGGCATTCTGAAGCTCAAGGTATTCTCTCTTAGGAATCCCAGTGATTCTGTTCTGATCGTCTGTTAAACTTTGGATTTAAGTCTTGGTCTGACTTACATTTAATCTATTAGAAGTCTTGATTTCAAGTCACGAGTTTCATGAATCTTGGCTCCAAAATATGCCACTCCCACCAAGCCAGCAGCATGTCAGCTTAACTCAGGTTTAAAATACGCTTGTCTCAGGTCAGTCTACTCCAGATAACCTCACTGGGACACAACAGCTTTTGTTGTGAATTTTTCTTTCCTCTCTGGGTACACTTGAACTGAAGCTAGCTGTCAGTCTCAGCACTTCATGAGTTAAAACTCATGCTCATTATAACTTAAGTTTTGCTGGTAGCTGAAAAACTAGTGCAGCAGACCTAGAAAACTTATTAAAATTATTAAAGATTTTATGATTTTGCTACCTGACTGAAATTTCTCTGTTAAATACATTGTGCAAGATCTAGAAAAGCCATTTTCTACCTAGAATGTTTGTGCTTTCAAGCATATACAGCAAACCTAAGTTTACATTTAGATAAATACCTCTTGTGTTACTGATTCTACTCAGTAGAAACTTAACCAAAATTACTGAGAAAAGTAGTATGCCAGACCAGCTAACTGTCTGTCTTAATGATACCTGGTTTAGTATACTCACCAGGTCTTTGGGAGGGCCTTTCTCTTGTTCTAGTACAGCAGTCACTGGTTATTACTGGAATTAAGACCTTTAGTGAACATCAAAGTACACCACTTTTTTAGAGGTGATTGATTTACACACGTTTTTAGGTTTGAGTATAGTACTAGTTCTGATTTATTGACAAAATACTTTATTTAAGTCTAAATCTCCTTTTTCCCAACAAAGATGAAGGCAACCTTAGTCCTGTGTTAAGCAGTAGATACTAACAGAGGTGGTTACAGTTCGCAGTATGTTACATCTGCTTTATTGATGAAAAAATAGTCTCAGGATTACAGACTGTGTAGTAAGGATGTTTAGAGGATTAAGGTCAATAATTTGTTTTACGGGTGTTTACTGTTCTCATTTTGGTTTTCTCAGCTTCCTCACCGGCCCATCTGTAGTTCCTGGCTACTTCTCGGTGGAAGCGGAGCATGTCGTGCTCGTGCTGAACGGGAGGGAACAGGCGAAGGTGGCGGCCGCCATCCAGTGGCTGCACTACGCACAAACGCTAATTCAGACCCACAAAATCCGGCACGTGGCGGTGGTGCTGCTTGGAAACGAGCAGTGCAACAACGGATGGATTCAGCCATACCTGAAAAGAAACGGAGGATTTGTGAATCTGCTCTTTATTACCTATGACTATGCGTTCGTAAATGAAGAAGATATTTTCCAGTGGCCTTTGGGAGTAGCTACGTAAGTGCTGTAGACAGAGGTTGCAATTGAAACAATTGTGGTGCATGAGGTACAGAAAATATGACTTACTGCTGATGCCCAAAACAGTTATAGTAAGTAAATTGTAGAACGTGATCCTATTAATCATTTTATAAATCAAACATTGGGATCCTTTGAAATTGCATTTAGAAATAAAAATGATAATAGGAAAAGAATGGCAGCGTTTAGGGAGCTTGGAATGTTTTCTGTTTATTTTTTCTTTAAGATTTGCTCTTGAGATTTATCATGTCTGCTGACGTAATATGTACCAGTGACACGGGGGATTTCAAAGATACTTATGTAATTAAGCTCCAGGTACTCCTTGTTCAGAAATGGAAAGGTGATTCTGGTGGTACTTTTTTTAACCCCTGTTATGGCTCTTAAAAGGCAGTTGTGTGCTTCCTGGTTTGAGTTGTTATACTCCAGTATCACAGCAGCATAAGCTGGCTTAACTGCATGCTTACAAAAACATTTTTATTATACTTATCTGCTCAAACTACTTGCGTGGAGTAAATAAAGGCTCGGTTCAGTTAGATGCACTTTTACTTCTTATTAACAGAGAGTTAATAGTGGTTTAGCTACTTTATCACAGTAATATAAGCTGAAAGGAGCACAGAATTATTTTCATATCTTGTGTTGAATTTGAATTCAATTTCCTGTATTGATCCAGTTGGCTCAATCTGGAAAACTGTATGGAGTTTTTTATATATAGCTTGAACTTGCTTACAGTGTCTCTGAAATATGATAAATTTGGATTCTTGATGATGTCAGAAAATTGTTGGCATTGGAAGTTCCTAAGCAAAAAGAAGTTGAATTTTGAGATGTAGAGATTAAGGTGACAGTTAACAGAAAGCAACAACATTTACAACAATAAACTAAGGTGCACAGCTGGGTGGAGAAAGATAAATATGGTATCAAAATGGAGGTTTGCAGCCCTTGCACACCAAGGAGTGTAAAAAATGTGGTTAAAGGTGTGAACGCGTGCCAGATTTTCCAAGTGAAGAGAGAAAATGAAGATGTAGAATGCTGTAAAAATATTTGTCATGAAGGAAAGAATGGTTCTCAGAAAGTAAGTGAATTAACATTCATCCCACAGGAGAAGAATGAGGAAAGAACCGTCCATCAAATAATGTACAACAAGCTTTTTAGTAGCCAAAAGATTAGATTATTGAAGTCCACTCAGATCAAAGTGAGATTTTGCTTTGAGAGGTTACCAGCGGTATTTTCAGTTGATAGGCATGCCCAGAGATTAAGGTAGCTGAGGCTTAAACACCATAGTTACCATTAACCTGGCCATTTCAGTCAAAACTTGTGGTTGCATCAAGAGCAGCTGCTTTGGAAAAGCATGTTAAGGACATTTTGTAATATGCACACATAGTATTTCTGATCTTGAAAAAAGACATAAGTATTTTGGAAAGTCTCTGAAGAGAGTGGTGGGGGCAAAGAGAATAAAGACCTACTTTTAGGACAGGACTTAAAGTGGTTTGCTTGTGTGTGGTTTGCTGTCTGTGTTTATATATGTGGATTGGCAACAAACAGGTGCTTTTAGTCTTAAAATATGATGCAGTAAAGATGAAATGGTGCAAAATTTTTCTTTGACATAAAACATATAGTTGTCTAATTATACATTGTTTTTACAGCTACAGAAATTTTCCAGTTATAGAACCCAGCTGGTCAATGCTACATGATCCAAGATCATATCTATGTAATTTCTTAGGGACAGTTTATAAGAACTCTTCTAGAGAAACCCTAATGGAAATTCTGAAGCAGGATGGGCTTGACAAACTTTGCTGGATTGCAGCCAGAGAACAGTAAGACTTTTAATTTATTTCGTGAAAATATTAAGATTTTCTTGCCTGGTTCATTATTACTAATCTTTTCTTGAGCATTAAAAAATAGTACAAATAAAGGTAATCAGTCATAATTAAATCAGAGAACATTGCTGACACTCTTTGTGTAGGTCTTCATAACAGCCTTTCTGTTGCTATATTTTACATAAAGTATATTTTTAAATGCATAGAAAAATCTCCTACATATACAACCATCAAAGATCATCAGGGTTTTTTCTTGAATATATTTGATTATGGTGGGAGAAGAAATATTTGTCTTGTGTTTTGTGTGGTTTAATGTCTTTAACAGAAGAAAGAAGACAACCATATTTTGTTGTGTTCCATATAAGAGAGTGGATTTAATCTGTACAGCATGGTTGTTTTTTATTTCAAGTAGGTGGAACAGATCTTTTGACTGACAAGAGTAGGGTTCTGATTGTATTTCTTAATTTTGAAAAGCAACACATAAAATGTTTGATAGCAGGCACAGCAGTGCTTAGGAAGACCTCAGCTACCCTGATGAAGAGTCTCAGGAGATGGATTGTATCTGTGACATAGACTCTTATCTCACAGACATTCTGGGGCACTTCAGGAGATGGATTCTGGTTACATGGATTGCTTTACATCCTAACTTTTGAAAAGCAAACCTCTACTCATGTAAAGTATTTGAGGCCAAACAAAGTCATTAAAAAGTCCATCAAGTGTCTCCCTGTTGGTCTGTTTCTGAACTGTGCTGTGAAGTAAATTGACATATGCATCATCCAGGTCATGCAGAAGATTTAAAATGGCATTTCAGTTTGTTTCTTACACTTCTACGTATTAATAATTTCCTAAAAGGACGACATCTAACATGGTTACAGTCTATTTTTAACAGTGACATTTTCAATAAATTTTTAGAAGACTCTTAAGAGCAGTTAAGACTAAAAGTAAAAGCCCATTGATTGTGTGTGTAATATAAAATTCATACATTGACAGCATTTTCATCTTTATGCATAGTTGAAATTAAAGCGTATCACTTATTTTTTCGTTGCAGTGTCTGTGGGAAAAATATTAATTTTAGCCCCCTTTACTTTCCTAGGTGGCAGCCTCAAGAAACAAATGAAAGTTTCAAAAACTATCAAGATGCCTTGCTGCAAAGTGATTTGACATTGTGCCCAGTGGGAATAAATACAGAATGTTACAGAATTTATGAAGCTTGTTCCTATGGATCTCTGCCTGTTATAGAAGATGTAATGACACCGGGTGATTGCGGAAATTCATCAATGTACCACAGTGCTCCATTACAGTTATTGAAAACCATGGGGGCTCCATTTATCTTTATTAAAAACTGGAATGAGCTTCCTGCTGTTCTAGAGAAAGAAAAAAAAATGAGCTTACAAGAAAAGATTCAAAGGAGAAGAAAGCTTTTAGAATGGTATCAAAACTTCAAAGCATGGATGAAACAGAAATTCATTATTACTTTGGAAAATTCATTTTTGCCCAGTGATAAAGGATAAATTGTCCCTTTTGAAAATCTAGAATAGATTGCCAGCTTAATTTCCATTAACCTTCTGAGGCAGCTTTTACAGAAAAGTAATCTCACAGGGTGGATGTGTTCCTTTTATAGTCAACAGAATTGCTCTAGCTTGGCCAAGAACTTAATTTGTCCTTTCATTCTTAACGATTTTCAGAGAGGTTGTTGACTTAGTAGGGTGGTACTCTGCAAGGATGACAACAATTTCATTACTGTTTTCACAATTTCCATGTTCCTGTGTGACCTGATAAAATTTTTTTAGGATAATATCTTTGATCATGTGAACTTTTTAAAATCCAACATAAAAATATCAGTTGTGTTTGAAGAAAAGAGGAGAATGAAAGCTGTATGGCACAGGGTAATTTATTATGTAGACTGAAGCAGAAAAGTATTACAGCAAAATTGCCAGGTTTAGCACATCCCAGTAAGTGCTTGCTCTGAAAATGTGAACCGTTTACTTGATTGACATTTCATTTCCAAGAAAGTGGCTATAAAGACTGTGAAATAAAAATGTATATTTCAAGGTAAAAATAGAGAACTTTTTCTTAAAAATACTTCATAGCAATATATTTCCCCTTTAACTTCAGTTATCAAAATGGCTTTCTCTCATTTCTGTTTAGTCTTGGGACGTATCTTTCTGCATTTCTGCTGCAGGAACATTCATTACCTGCAGTTGCAGCTGTGCATTCTAAACCGGGCCTTAAACATGAACCTGTTTGTAGCTTACCTGATTTCTCAAGATCTGCTGAAACTTGTCAACTCCAAAAGAAGTATAATATTGTATGTTTATGAAGCTACATGTACCACAAACAGTTTCAATGCTTTTTTTGTTAAATATAGCTGAAGTGATCTGTTACTGTTCTTGCCCATTAGGAATGAATCTGTGCTGTTACCTGTGTGTTTGGCTGAGCAGTGTGACTGCACACACACCACTGGCATAACCAAAGAGTGTGTCATAGACATTTTTCCATTTACAGCAGCATGACATATGGGTTCATTCTCGTACAGGAATTCAAAGGCTGGTGCAACTCTACTGCTAAGTAATACTCATTTGTGTAATGATACTATCTGGTGGTGAAATATGTGCCATAAGAGCATTTCTGTGGTTTTCTTTCAGTTTTCTTGCATCCTTTCTGTGTAGCATCAAAAAAAAGGCACCAAACCAACAAAAAATTGAATCAAAACCCAAAACATAAAAACACAGGGTTTTAGTTTGCTAACAGTGGATCATACCCACAGTGGCTGCTCTAGATCAGGAATAAGGTATGTTTCAGAACGCTTGTATTTTTAGGAGATGTATTCCATATGCTTAGAAGAGGCTCTCAGAAGATAAATAATCTAAATCCAAATAATCTGAATTGTATGTCTAATGTGAATATCCAGTGACTATCATGCACCCATATTATCTGAAACATCATGTGGTTGCAATACAATGCAAACATTCCCCATTCAGCTGAAACTGCAAGTACAGCCCTCACAGCTCATCATTGAGTTCATGAGCACTGCTTGGAGGTGGACCCTGTTAGGACAAATTTAGCAAAAATTTCCACACCAAGGGTCTGAAGTAGCCCATCAGTAGTACATAGCACTTGGAGGATTAGAGGAAGCTTGAGTATCTGTAATAATCATAGAATCATAAAATGGTTTGGGTTGGAAAGGACCTTAAAAGATCACCTAGTTCCAACCCCCTGCCATAGGCAGGGACACTAGATGAGGTGCTCAAAGCCACATCCAACCTGGACTTGAGCATTTCCAGTGATGGAGCATCCACACCTTTGGACAACCTGTTCCAGTGCCTCACCACTGCAATAATGTAATGTCAGTGCTGTATTTTCCTTTTAGCAGAATCTTTATTTCTACACAAGCTACAAAACTGCAGAGCAATGATCTAGAGCAGTATTTTTCAGCTTGTTGGCAGATCCTTTGGCACTCCTCCAGGATTTCAAGGAACTGCAGAAAAAAACTCCGAGAGGGAGGTCTTTACCAGTCAGCTGAGATTCTTATAAAAAAGGCTGCAGCTCCTAAAAAACAGTGGTATGGAGGTTGAAGTCTGAAAAACAGTTCAGTGTGTTACTTGGTCATCAATAGAAGAAACATGCTGCTACTCATGCATTCATTTCTAAGTAAATGTGAGTTTTTCTTAAGGGAGGCCAAGATGCACCAAAGTTTTCACAGAATTCCACATTGCAGCTGTTTGCCTACTTTGCGAGTTCAAAGGGAAATGATTGGCACTTACCTGACTTTCAAATTCATATTCTTCAGACCAACAGGAATTAGCACCAGAAGGAAGTTTTTTGTGTTGTATTTCCATTGCTCATGGAACAAAGAGGGCAAAACATCTTGAAGCCAAGAGAGGGTTCCTAATGCATTAGGTAGGTTGTGAGTATTTTGTTTTCTCATTCCACTGTCCAACTTGAGGGAGAGATTGTAGTTCTCCTGTTTTTATTCCCTGATACTTACTCATTGGAAAAATTGTCTACTCTGTGCTCTGTTTGGATCCAGAGATGAGAAAGACAACAAAACGGACTATGGGAAAGAAAGGGTGAGACTGAGAGAGGAAAGACACCAAGGAGTGGAAGAAATCAGAGAGGATGTGTTATCAGTGATAGACAAAACTGATTGAAGAGAAGCAGTTAAGCCACTGGCAAAAAAGATGGCACAACACGTCCACGTAGGAGTAGATAGTATCGGCTGTCAGTGGGAAGACAGCAAGTAAGTTCGGTTGTTTAATACTAAGAGGAGAATGTATGCTCTGTTTTTGCAGTTAGCCCTCTGGTTCAAGTCTGGGATGGTGAAGCATAACTTTTCCAGAGCATAAAACAATGCCTCATATCTGTGCATGGCATCTCTTGGAGAGGGACTTCTGCAAGACCTGAGCCTGCCTGGAATCAAGAATGCCATTTGTAGCATCAAATGTTACACAGATTGTTAATTATGCGGTGTTTTGCATCATGCTTAGATTTGTATGTGGAATATATAACTCCATCAGTTTTGTTTTCTGAAGTATTTCCTGCTGATGAAGACTTTAAGCTGGATTGCCTTGCTATGAGAAGAAACAGATCCAGCTTGTCCCAATTTAGCGTAACTCTCTCTCCTACATTATTTGGAACCCATTAAGAGTGGCTGTGAACATGTGGTGTAAACAATTTAAAAGATCATCTTCTAGAGAGCAATATGTTTTCAAAGAAACTTAACCAGTCTTCACAACTGTTTGTAATACTGTAGATGAGGAAGGGGCTTGCAAAGGATCTGGCTGCCATTTGCTTACCATTCTTGGATATTTGAGTTGTGATAGTGTATTTCAGTAGTTAGGTTTTCTGGTATTGCTGGATATCATCCTTCCATGACTGAAACTTACACAAGGAGTGATAAAACGAAGAGTTTTCTAGAAGCCTTTCTCACAGCAATTACTAAGTGTGAATTAGGAATACTGTGTGCTGGAATCACCAGTTTCTCTCTTGGCTTACTGCTCTCACCAAAACACTTGCAAAAACACAGAAATAAAATCCTGTTACTTCTTGACAAGCCCTGCATGTTAGTAATAACCAGTAAGTGCTGGGCAAACTCAGGAGCAGCTTCCATGCTAGTGAGTCCTGAAATATTTCCAGGAATTGTTCTTACTGTGATTGGAAAGATGAAGGATGGTTGAACAAAATTTTGCTTGTTTTGGACTGTTCATAAAGACTGACACTGGGAGAGGCAAAAGTATTTCAAATGCAGTTTTAACTGTGCCATAAGAAACTGTTGCTTCCAAGAAAATTGCTACCATAAGGCATGTTGGGCCATTTCCCAGTAGCTAAGGAGTTTAATGCTTATGTAGTGCTGTGAATCCTGCACAAAGGATTTGAAGAGTCAGACAAAAAGAAAAGAGCTGACCTGATGAAAATGTGCCTGAAAAGGTGATATACAGTCTGCATTGTGTGCCAGGACTTCGTGTTGGTCGGGTTTTTTGCTCTCTGAATTCACAAAGGTAAGTTAAATAGTTTGTACAGTAAGCCCTTCTGGGAGCACTCCAAAGTGATGCTATAAAAACCATGCCATGCAGCAAACTCTTCTAATTCCAGCAGCTTATGCCATTAGAAAGAATTACATGGATTTCTTACTCCTCACCAATCTATAAATCATGTCTGATAATCTTCTGATAAAGAAATAGCTACAAAAGGTTATGTTACTGATTGATATTTAAACTTTTTGGATGGGTCAAATTTCAGGATTTCTTCAGTGTCTCCTGAACAATAAAAACTAGTAAATGGTTGTCAATATATCTTACGAATCTAATTTTCGTTCACATCTTTATGACTAATATGAGCATGGAGGACTGCTTTGAGTGTTAAAATCTCTCATGCGACTCTAGTTTTAAAGAATGTAAAAGCTGAAAAGGCTCTAGAGGTAAATGCTAAAGAGAAAAAGATGGATGCCTACATACATTTTGGATTTATTTAATTCAAGGTTTTTAAGAAAAAATCCGTTTGAGGACTGTAACTACATGGCAGTAAAATGGTGAAGCAAAGAGTTTCAAAACATGCTATGTAACATCAGTCCCCTAGGGTCTGGTGGCTAGTTTGACTGATATTTGAAGTGTCTCTGATTCAAGGTCCCATAAAAAGGCCTGGGTCTTCAGAAGAAACTGCTACACATGTTGAGAATCAAGACCCTGTTAAGATCGGTGTAGTTCAGTGCCCAAAAGTAGGTGCCTGCTGTTGAGAAGCTGGCCACACAGCCAGGTATTTGTACAGTACCATCTCTTACTTCCTAATTGTGTTGAGTGCCTTCCTGCATTGCTATTCACATTTTCGTCTCTGAACACCCTTGGGACCTGAGTGCAAATACGTGAGTGCTGCTGTAGTAGAATACAAGGTATTTCTGATCTGTGTTCTCACAACACAGATTTGTCAAGCATGCCATGATATAACATTACTCATGCTCTTAGCCAGACTTACACCAGCTTAATCACACAAGGATAGGTTTAGGTAAGTATCCTCAAATTGCTTCCCATATTCAGCACAGTCTCATTTCTGGGTTTCACATGACACCATTCACCACTATGGTCTGCATTTTTTCCATCTTCAGGAGTATATAATTTGTAGCTTGGGCTGCATTTTAAAACAAACAGAACTGAAGTACTATACAGTGTTTCCATTA